CCCCAAAACCCCAAAACCCCAAAACCCCAAAACCCCGTTCCCTCATTATAATTTAAATACCAAATATTTGAAAATCATATAATTAGAAAAATTAATAGTTTCAATTTAATAGGACATATTAGTAATAAAAAATGTAAAAAATATATTTAGATAAAAAGACATCACTTCATGAAGTCAGTTCACTCTTTGAGAGACTAGGAGGCTAAGAGGGAGTAACCAATATAGTTGAAGGAATGTATGCTAAGATCTTTAATGATCCAGATGTAGCTGACTTTTTCAGAAAGTCAGATAAAGGACATTAGGTAAAAAAGATGGCAGCCTTTTTCATTTATACAACTGGTGGATAAGAAGACTGGGATGGTAAATCTATGAAGGAAACTCATTAAGGTAGAGGAATTGGGTCACGATAATTCGAAAGAGTTATTGATCATATTAGATCTACAATGCATGAGTTGGGGCATTTGGATGAACTTATTGATGAACTAGTGAACAGACTAGATTTGCTCAAGCCAGCTTACTTAGAAGAAGATTGATTTAAGGAATGTCGAATTGATTGTTATTTTTACTATCTCACTTAATAACTATAGTAAAACTTAATTGATTATATAATCTCAGGTTCTATGAATCATTTTAGTAGAAATATTATTTAGAACCTTAGGATTTATTAAATTAAGATTAATAACAATCGATTGGTTTAAAATCTATTCAATCAAGACATTCATTCTGACTTAGAGAAGGATTTATCTAGTTTGAATTGAATTGAATTTTTTTCATCAAGATAATCAATGCATGGTCTAATCTGTTAATCCAATTTAATATTCTATATCTGATTTGACTCTATTATATTAATCAAATACTTTAAACCCAGATAATGACCTTTGCCTAGTCCTTCACTGTGATGATTGTATCGATAAAGTGGATAAAAAACGTCAGTTTATTTCTATTGAATTGTAAAATTATTTTCTTAATTCAAGTTTTAATCAACTTTCATAACTTCAATATTCTAATTTTTACCTGCAAATACATTTTTAAGAATATCTAAAGATACCCAAGCTGCATCTTCTACTTCATCTCGATTGAATTTGAGTTTAATCTCCTAGTAATTAGCTGATATTTTATTCATAAACATCATTATCAAATGAGAATACTTAGGTGGAAATACTTGCAAGGAAGGATCGACAGGATCTGAGATATTTTTAGTAACGCTTTCATATAAATAAAATGGAAATAGTTCCACGTCAAACCCCTGTATTCTTGGGTAGGCTTAAGGGATCCATTCATTTAATTTTTGCTCATGGACTTAATCCCCTGTGCCAAATCTTTTGTATTTTCTAATTAATTAATAATCTAGTCCAGTTTCTTCCTATAATTCTCTAATGTTAGCCCATTCAAATGACTCTTAGAAATCAACAATGCCTCCTGGTAAAACCCATGCTTTAGGAAAACTATTTAAGTTAGATGGCCTTTTCGTCAAAAGAACATGATTGTTCTTATCCATTACAACAGAACAAACCGACATTTTCATTTGATGACCATACTCTCGATTCTTTATATAAATTATTGCAAGTATGATTACAGGTTTAGACTGAGACTCTAGTTAAGAGAAATGCAGTCAACTTTTTCTTGAAGGACATGTATCAGAATGTTCCAAAACTAAATTATTATAATTTAGAACCCCATCATTCTATTAAACACTATCGCTTAACTCTATATTTCCTAATTTTATATCATAAGAAAGCTATAATTAATGTATTAATAACTTAAATTATTTAAAATGGCAAAAGGGAGAGCAGAGCCATTTAACTTACAGAAACTTTTGATTAGTTTTATTTATAGCTGAAACAGTCTAAAAGACATTAACCTGCTTTGATTATGCCATTCTTATGCATAATTCTGCAAACTTATAGCGAATTTTTTATCATCATTACTATTAAATTAGCTAATTAATTATACAATAATAATTATATTTGATTAAACAATATTAAAGATAAATCACTATTTTCTTATTTTATTACATATTTCCCAGGGGTTTTGGGGTTTTGGGG